TAATATTATAACGCCCCCCCACGGCTGAAAGGGCGAGCATGTTTGGTGGGACGGGGATTCAAGCCCGCGACCCACAGACGAAAAAGTAAAATACACAATATTTTTCATAGAACATTTAACAAACTAAGCATTTCAATTTGTTATGTTGACAAACATAAGAAAGAAATCAACATAATGAGTGAGATAATTTTCCTGTAATAGATATTTTGTATAAATATTATGGCAATAAAAATCTGAAATACTTAAATAAATTTATAAAACGTATATAGCCAAAAACCAGTGTTTATTAAAATGTTAATATTAAAAAACATGATTAATATATATTATTTGAAACATGAGTATAACAAGAATTGTATTATAAGCTTATCACGTAAATTTAATAGCATGTTAACTCGTCCCAGAATGAGTTGTAATTTTCATAATAATACACCGCAGTTTATGGGGCTTGGAGGTGTTACAATATATTCCATATTTACGAGGAGCAAAATTAAACAACCTAAGTGAAAATATGTTTAACAATATGACCAAAAGTTATTCTGATAAAATGTGAAAATCTGGGTTTTCAAAAATTACTCGGAGAAGCATGCATCTAGGTTTTTGAACAAAACAGTGGTGTCGGGTATAATAAAGCATATTATTTTTAACTATTTCTGTTAAATTACCTAAGTGAAGTGTTGGTTGGTGGCTCTTAAATGAGGTTAAGCTTTAGATTCTTGTAATTCATGTAGAACAAAATCAAATATATAATACATATCCCTGTTCCGATGCTTTTATATTCTACGAGAACACAACTCGCGAATACAAAACACCTTATTTATAAAACTTTGATTAAAGAAAAAAAACAACAATTATTTAAACTTTTTTCACGGGAATAACTGATCCGGTAGATCAAAACAAACAAGTCAGTGACACTTGAATAGTGTGAATTAGGTGTACAATTGATGTTTTTTTTTTTTCACCATACTTATGAGTTTGAACTGCCGAACTCAATGGAAACTCCTTCCCAACCGCAGTTTGTTCACTGGAAAGAACAAATTTGACAACCCCCTTCCCCTGTCCTTTTGTAATCACGCGCACACACTGCGACTTGTTTTGCACAAAAATGAAGTGGAGTCTTTATAGAGTTTGCTGCTTACTGAAATGAAACATTAAACTAGTTCAATGAAAGCATTCTGCACAGTTACAAGAACATCCTTACCTTCAGCATGACACGCCTCCTTTTTTGAACTGAGACCCCCTCTCGCAATGATAAGAGTGACAAAGAGAACGACTAAACAATCTTTATAAAACTATGTGCGGTTTAAGGTAAAGGTAGGATAGATTTCTCTGAACCTTACAGAACCAAAAGAAACAGCTCTCAGGAATGTGTACATAACACAAAAACGCAAACGACAGCTTCATATTAACTTTTTAGGCAAGTTAGCTTGCTACCGATGTTTATCCGATAGAAAAATCCATCCCAAGATATCAAGCCAAATAAGAATATATTTTTACGACTTGTTGATTTCAAAATATTTTTCCAACTGAAAAATTGAAACTTGTAAAAAAAAGTAATCGATTTTTTTAATTGTACTTAATTTTCTACCAATGCACACCAACCATAAAAATACTACCCTGCCTATTAATTGTGACGCCACTTAAAATAAAAATATCAAAATTATTGTATTAGTTTTGTTTATTGATTTATTTTTCATTTCATTTACTGTATAACAATTCCAAATATATAACCAGTTAATTTGGTCTTTGTAAGCAAATTAAAACAATCCTAAAATGTATTTTATTCTCTTTATTTGTATGCTTTCTTACCGGTTTTGCCGTGATAAAAGCAAGTTTTAGGCATCGAGTTATTGAGTAATCTAAAATGAACTACACAAACCAGTAGTATTACAACTTGCAAGTGTACGACAAAAATGCTTCTTTCTCTGGAACGTACTTTATACTTTCCCCAACACACAATGAATAATCAAACATGCACACATACAAAAAAAATCTTCGTTTAATACACAAAATATACACGTACTTGTGATTTATAACTAACTTTTATTAAAAACACACAAGTTGAGACTTTCTGATAGAATTTATGAATATGACTAAATTTTTCAAAATTATGGAAAACAAAAAAGAATCATAAGCATAGCTATATAAATTATATATATAGTTAAATTACTTGCAAGTCCACATCTAAAAAACATTAGTTCATACAGATCAAATCACTTTTCGAACCCCCTTTTTTTTCTGATACAGATCATTCATCAGTTTCACAAACTGGGATGAGTATAGTCTGCCTTCATTTAATTCAATATGGGTTGAGTAAGCACTAGTTAAAATTTCTACTGGTAGTGCGATTTTCAAGGTAGCTTCTGACTCGCGGAGGTCATTTTTAACCAAGCTCGTTTGGAATAAGTCAGATTTTGCACGCCCAGGAAGGGCAAACATTGTTTAGTTACGAATTTATAGCAATTTCGTACCGTTGCTATTTGGAAGAGGAAGCTGTCAACTCGGTAAATGAAATTATTTGGAAGAACACGGGCCACATACAAAATAAAGAAAATTACATATACGAACACGAACCTAATACCATTTTAAGCAAATCAGTTGTTTTTATTTTTCCACTAAAATTAATTTAAAAACAAGCCTCTTTAATGGCGTGTTTTACCTTATTTTTTAAAATAAAATATAATGTATTTCAGTGATATACTGAATTATAAAAATCAAGAAATAATAGTTGGTGTTTGGCATTGTGTAAATTTGCATCAAACTCATCTATGTAGCTACATTACGATCTCACGAAGCAATATTAATGTCCTCAAATTTTAGCATTTTCTTTCTGGAAAGAATAATTTAGATTCGTAAAAATAGTATATTACAAAGGTAGATTTGGGTTTATTATTGTTTTTTTTTATCTTGTGTTCCTAATTTTCATAAATAATAGTGAAGTGCAATTAAACCCAAAGAAAATGTCCGCATTTTGTTACATTCCTAGGAAAGCCTTTATTTATTATTGATTCTCTGTACGTCAATTTTAAAATGCTGTACACATTCTTCAGTCTTACTATCACGTTAATGTCTTAAGTATCAAATTTCACTTGTCAGCAAATGTATATATATGATACCAATCTAGCAGAAATATTACAGAAATCAGATGGCCTTGTCTACATTACTTCAATCTATTACTGCATAATATTATACTTTCACACACGTTATTAAGTCCCAAGTGGTTATTATACAATTACATCCGAGGTGTTTTGACGTAAAATTTCTTTGGAGACTACAAAGCTTTCTTTTTAATTTTAGCTTTGCCATTTCACCAAATAATTTGTATGTGTGTGCAACAAAAACTGTGTTGATTAATTTAATATCGCCAACAAAGTAATTAATCCATATAAAAATATTCTTTTCGGTTTAATTCGAGATTTACTTAAAATGCCAATGCGTATGTATAGCTTATATTATAAGACATTATTTTGACATAACCATTCCGCTAACATGCAAAAATGTGTTTGTTTCGAATAAAATAAGTGATTGTAACAATATATTTTGCATCTTGGGTCTTTGCTTCTGATGTGTTGTTTGAGTTACACTAATGAGTATAAGCATACAAGAAAACTTACTTCCTTTTTATGTGATGTCATCTTATTATAGTTACTAATACTGGGGAAAAAATACTGTAATGAAAATATTTAAAGTAACATAAATTCACTTACACGGGATAAAAATCGGTGTCTTTATCATCACCAGGACCAAGGTGTTCAGCTACTGAAAACCCAAAATATGAGCCCCTGTCACCTTGTTTTATCAAAGGCAATCGTATTTCCAAGTTAAACCCATGCACTGTTAAATGTACCGATATCAAGAAATAAAAGATAGAAGTCCAGGCCCAGCAGCTATTTTCCATTTCTGCTAACACACTAACGCCGTCTCTACTCGCAAACCTCACGAGTTTCAAAGTAATGAAGCAATGAAACATTTCTCCAGTCCACAACTCGTCACGTGCTACTCTCGCTACCACTTGGACCTAGATACTCACGCAAGCGCCCTCAGTGCTTCGTCAAGTATACAGATTTGTGAGAAAAGTAAATTTGTTAGTTAAACATAAACAACTTAAACTGTACAGTTCAGTCGTTATTTATTATTATATGCCAATTACCAACTCTTGTTATGAGGATAGGGTTACAACCAACTAACAGGGAGACTTGAATTAAGCTAGATTTATAAGTCAATAAGATTCTGTAAATGTGATAAGCATAGAACATAAATTGTATATTGATTTTCATCTTCAGACGACAAAAGTTAAGCCTAACTTTTCCCATTATACCTACCTTACCCTTAAAAAGTTGGCGTTTAAATTCAAAGTACGTTTGTCACATTATTTAAACTTACAGCTGAAATTAAGATTGGAGAATTCAGTCCCCATTAGTACTTGATTGAAAATTTTGCTAGTTAGCGATATTGATACAGTTAACTTAATTGCAATGCTTTCTAGTTTAGTCAAAGACCATCAGCAACGTCAACAAGTTCGCAGAGAAGAGCAAGGTAAGCTTAGCTTTAGTTTAACGAAAAACTTTATTCGATGAATTTAAACTTTAACATTAAAATTTTAGGCCTATAATAAGTGTTTTGATTTAGATATATATACTATATTTTATACTTTGTTATGGATTTTGCATATGTAATTCTGCTTGACTTACTCTCAGTCTCACTCTCACATTTATTTAAAACTATAACTTATAAGTCGACATTATTTTAGTATGTTATATTTTTCTTATTCATTATCCTTGAAGACCTAATTACAAGTCTGATGATCAAAAGGTAAAGTATTTTTTATAATTTCCATAGTTCTGTTAAATGAAAGCTACTGGTGTACATTTCTACAAGCGTTTTTCTAAAGCATATCGGGCAACTTTTGTAGTATCTAAAAAATCGTAGGATTTGAAAATTAAACTCTATATTTGAATATTGGATAAAAAGTAATTTACTGTGTATAGGTACTTTTAGTTTGGCAAAATGACAGTAAAGAAATATTTTATTTTCTCTTGTCTGCCCCAAGAGAAAAGGCTGTTCAACTCATTTAAATAATCCACCTACTGATCATCTAATTATCTTATCTTATCATTGTAGAAAAATATGATAATTTTTCTTTCTCAAATTAATTAAAAATGCACATGGAGCATATCTTTCCCAAATTCTTCAACATGATCTTCAGGCTTACCCATGTTTATTTCCTCAATAAAAGTGTGTAAACTGAACAGATTTCAAAAAAAATACATATGCTACACTTACACAACAACATGCTTATGAACAGGAAAGTCTCACTGCCTTGATATAGCATCAATCACATTCAAGAGCTTTAGTTTAGTTTCATAGTATATGATTTTTGCACTTTTTATTTTACTTTATTTTTTAAATTGAAGTTAAAATATTTACAGTGCTTAATTTAAACTCTTATTAAAATAGAACATGGATAAGTCATTTTAAAGAAATCCGTAGTAATTTTAAACATTTCTGGGAAACACTGGCCTTACTGATGATTTAATGTGTCAGGTCGTCGCCTGAGCAATATAAATGCATAGATGTTGTTTTCTGGTTAGTCATTAAAATGAGTGAAAGCATAAATTTCTAATTTCGAAAGGATATTGGGTTCATTTGTAACACTAGCATTATTATCAAAGACTATTTTTATTTACTAGGTGTTCAAAAACATCTTTTATTAGTATGTTAACAGTGGCAGTTGTAAGAGAATATGACTCTCATTAGGAAAAACTGTGACTGCTAACCATTGGTGACTGATTGAGGGTAAAAAGTAAAGACAAGTGGACATATTAATTGCAACAAATCTAAAATGTGTTCCATTTGACTGATTTATGCAGCACTAGTTAGGATTTGACTATCTCCAAATGTATCGTACAAAACATATTAAAAAGCCATGTTGCAGTTGATAGGAAGTTGATACCTGCTCATTTCAGATGCTGTAACGAGAACCAAGCTTCCGTGATGCATCAAATATGAACTGTGAACAAAGAATGATTTACACCTTTGTGATGTGTTCTGTTGGGTCACAATTCACATTCTTATTTACTAGCATAAAATTAAATTATGGAGGTAACCACTTATGGCATTTAACCCTGCTTTTGATGTTTCATCATCCTAAACTTTTGGAGGCCAGGTAATGATGTGTGAAATGCTCTTATGGAAATGGTTTAATCCTTAGATTTCTTTAGAAAGGTGTACAATATCCCAAATAGTGTACTTAAATATTGTTTTCAGTTGCCCCAGTCATCAAAATTAGGACACCAAGTCCACAGCAAAAACATGCTGCCTTTAGTGCATTAGTAAAGAGAACAACAAGGCAAATTTCATCATCAATTTTGAAAGATGAAATTAATACACGAGCAGAGTACAAGACAAGCGTATATGCCAAGTGAAAAATTAGATTGAGTTTTTATACTAATTAAATATTTTTGGGTGAAATAGTAAAATTATAGGCAGTTTTCCAAATTAAACCTGAGGTTTAAACTTTATGTTTTGCCCATACGATAATGTTTTAACAGAAAGCCAACATCAAAAGATAATAGTAAAAAAACAAGTCATTTTTAATGCTAGCAAAATACAGTAAAAAAAAAACCCTGACAACTTTGTTGATGTTCTTTATTCATCAATTAATGTAAAAATGAACCTATCTTTTCTATTTTCATTGTCCCCTTTGATACTAAAACATGCAATAATCAAAACCCAAACTACACATGGTTTGACAGTGTGTGTGTGCATTAGTTCTGGCTTTCAATCAAATTTGAATTAAAACAACGGTTTTTATTAATCAAACTAATACAGTGTGAAGGCTACTGAACATGGAATTGTCAATATTTTAAGCAATCCATGCAGAATATTTAAAATACCCATTAGAACTTACAAGTGGAAACTAGATTTGTAATGTTATCTACCTACTTTTTTTTCTCAGCCTTTCCTCAAACAATGTACATGTATATGCCGAAATCATATAAGCAGACTGTCATGAATATTAGAAATAAATGTCAAACAGGCAGTTTATATTTTACATGTTAAACTATAAGTAAAAAATTTGAGGAGTGTTTTTTTTTGTTCTTGTGTCAACATTTATCTTGCTGTCATACTTGACATTTATCATAAAATTCCACAGCTATTCCAATGGCTATGCCTTATCCCAACACTAATTTCAAAGACTGTGTCTATCCTACAGTTCTTTCATTTTAACTTTGATGGACAGGTGCTGTTCCAAGATAATAAAGCAGCAGTCTTCTGCACTTGTGTGAAATTAGTTCTATAAACTCAAAAGTGACTTCATTGACCATTCTTGACCAAAACGATAACTGGACCTCAATTCAATTGAACATTAATGGGATGTACTTGAAAATTGCATTTATCACTGTAATTTTCTGTCAACATTCATGAACCTGTTTAGGTAATATATCTCAATAAGTGAGCTGTTGTGGATTATGACTTTTTCAGCATCTTGTGAAATTTGTCATGCCACATAAAGTAATATCAAGGCTTGAGATGATCCAACCATTTGTTAAGTGGGAGTTGTAATAAAGTTGTAATTCTTAAAGAAATTGGTTTGCTTGGGAATCTTTTTTTTTCTCATCTTGAGTAAAAACATGTGTAAAAACAATTTTTTTTAGTACTTTAACTATGTTTCCTTCCATTTAAAATCTTTTAAATGCCCATTATTATCATTCATTCTCTTTTTTGCATTTCATACAAATATAAAATCTTTAAACTTAATTGTTGTCATGGTAGACTTTTGAGTCAAGAAAGTTTTTTTAATCCTTCTGGCCCTTAATGATAGCCTTTTTTGACATCTCTTTTGTTTATTTCTATAAATCTCAACATCATCTACTTCATAAGTGAATTTCATGTTTTTTTATAAACTAAATATTTTTCATAAGTTAGAAGCTTAATTCATCTGTTTAGATAAAGGTTTTTGGTTAGAATATAAACATTTGGAAGCAGTGTATTTCCTTACAACTAGTTTGATGAAACAAATAAAACCATTCAAAGTTTTATTAACATCTGGATTATTCAACCAATCTTTTACTCTCAAAATATCTTGAAGTTTTGTAAGTAAGGTTCCCTATCAAGAATAAACCCCAAAGTAAAAGCAGGCAAATTATGAGATTAGTTCTCCAGTAATCTGTGAATAATTTAAAAACTAGCACATATTAATTTCTCTGTTTTTTATCCACTGCCTAAAACTCGGGATACCCAGAGCCAGTCTCATATTCCTAGAAATTTTGAGTAAATGAATCCTCTCACTGGGTTCATCTGTTCAGTATGAAAAGTTATTTCTAATTTACAGTTTAAATTATATATATACCTGGTATCATTTCAGTACTGATTATTTTCTTACTTCACATCCATAAACTTTCTTTGCAATGAAAAAAATCCTTGAATTTGGTAAGAAAATTTGTACATATACATATATAATTAACCTCCTAACATTTTATTCTCACCTTACTTCCTAGAACCTACATAAAAAGTGAATCACAAGTAACACTAAACTTGCTTTTCCATGTACTTTTTTTTATCTACTCTTATTTGGTATGATTAAAACATACAGATGTATTCTAGGTAAAGAAATATCAAACCTTGATTTTTACAGTTCACTTGGCAAGCAAGCATGCTACTTCATTACCATAAGGAGTCATGTGGGTTGTAACTGTCTCGTAATTCTAGATTTTTGAACTTGATATTCCAAGAAATTAGATTATCTTAGTGTGGGTACACTACCATACTTCTACACTAAGTTAGTTGGTACATCATGTCTGACTCATACTTCTATATGAATGATCATTAACTGGAAGAGAGCAGGGGGAGGAAGGGAATAAAAGAAAAATATGTCTGTGGTCATGATACATGTGAATAATATAATTTTGTACACTAGCTTAGTGTAAATAGAAATGGATAACTTGTGTGATCAGGAACAATGTTCTACTTATATTAATGTGTCATACTTATCTGTTACCAGCAAGTAAAATATTCAGACTTGTATGAAATACAACAGTATTGTGAATAAACTACATTGATGAAAAGTACAGATAAAACAAGTAGATATGTAAAGAACAGAACAAACAAAAACACATTTTAAAATGTAAATAATGAACAACAACAAACATTTGTCATGTGTATGGTAACAAACATTTAATTCTTGAACGTTTCAGAATGTACATATTCCATCTTCAGTAAACTATATAAAACAAGGTAATATATTAGGTACAAAAATTTCTAAAGTTCCAACATTTTGTAAAGAGTAATTAAAATAGAGTAAAAGGATGAAGTCAACTAAAAATAAACAAAAAAGAATACGTTAGTGCTACAGTTGTAACAATATTTTATAATTTATTCATAACAGACTTAATTGTAGTGAAGTTGGGAGTTCATTTATTATAGATAAATTTTCTTTAATTAATAAAAGTTCAATATTGGATGATCCAGATGAGATGACTTTGAAATTTTTAATCAAGATGGAGTGGTTGATGTTTTCACTATGTGTATAATTGACAGAGCCTGAAGGTTTTTTAATTTGTTACCACTTCTGCTTCATACTCCCATATGTTCGCAGGTGTAGTTGGCATATAGTTCTGCCAGTAAGTGGCATTACAGTAACCATGTGTATTTTTACATGATCCTGAAATGCCTAGGGGTAGGTAATAGGTCTTTAGACCTGATTAGATTTTGAATCTTGAAAGGAAATTTAAATATCATTTGTAGTTTAACTTGTGGATAAAGTTATAATTACTCTTAAAATTTGTGACTTCAGTATGAAACTTTGTTTATCTAAAAAAAGAATGATCAGTTTTAATGGGTATTTGTCTACAGTATATGGTTTCTTTGGGGGTTCAATTTTGTTAGAAAGGAACTTGCATGTTAGTGCTTGAATAAAATGCAAGAGATAGCCATTCTTTATTACAATATTCTGTAAGTTGGTTATTTTGGGATGAAGAGGGAGGTTGACAGAACAGAGGTTATATACTCTATTGAGAAGACTGAATATAAGGTCAGATTTAAAGGAGTCTGGACTAAAACTGTTGAAACGAGTTTGTAAACCTGTATATGTTTTCTTATAATAAACAGATCGTGTAAAATTGTTATCTAATCTGCTGATTTGGATATCAAGAAAAGGCAATTTATCATTTTTTTTCAATTTCACAAGTAAAATTAATGTTGGGAGTGTTTCAAATTTAAATAATCCAAAAATTGTTTGATGTGATTAGAGCTTTGAAAAAATAAGAAGGATATCATTAACATACCTTCTATATAAAGCTGGTCTGTATTCAGCAGGACAGGTGTCTAACCAAGAATGTTTATAGTGACAAAGGAATATGTTTGGGAGAGTCAACCCTAAAGGTGACCCCATTTGGTAATATAGCTGGCCGTTGAAGACAAAGTAATTATCCTTGAGTGCAAGTTTTAATAATTCTTTGAACTGTTGGTGGTTAAAGCTTGTGTACATTTAATTTTGGTTGGGGAAAAGTTTCTTTAAGATTATTTGTATTGTTTCCTTGAGTGGAATCTTGGTTATTAAAGATTCAATGTTGAAACTAGAAAATATATATTGAACAGCATTAATAATTTTAGAAATTTCTTGTGCAAAGGGAAATGAATCTTTAACTATAAACTTGTTGGAAGTAAGTGAATTTATAATAGGAACAAGGAATTTAGCCAATTTATAAGTATGGGAACTGATGCTGGATAAAATAGATCTTAAAGGAATGTTATTTTTGTGGACTTTAGATGACCTGTACATAAGACTTGGGTGGGAGCCTGAGGGATAAAATGTCACTTAGAATTAGTGCCGTTTGATATATCTAACAGTAATGTAAAGGTTTTAAATGTTCCAATTTTCATGGTAGTAATCATTATTGATTGGATTCATTAATAAAGAATTGAGGTATTGGCTCAAAAATAAATTCTCCCATTAGGCTGTAGATATTTTTACACTTCACTAGCCATAAAGTACATAGTTTTTGCTTTAGTGCTGTTTATTCTAAGGTGATGCAAGCATGTGCCAAGTAAATTCATGTTTTTGTTTCTTATTGGAAAGTGATAGATTTGCTTGATACAGGTAAATAAAATATGCAATATTTTAAGTTTTCTTTAATGAATACTTTTAAACAGTGAATATTAGTGTATTTCAAATGCAGAATGTTTTTCTCTAGAAAAAAAAAGAAAAGATGCAATAATTGCAGCAAATAATTTGACATCAGCTTTGGTGGATCATCTTAATGTTGGGTAAGTAACATGCATATACATGAAAGAAGTAATTAGTAATTAATCTTCATATTACTGTTTATCAATTCAGCCTCAGTAATTCCAATATTAGCAATCCAGGTAAGAACAATTTAAAGCACACTTTTTTGCACATAAGACATTAAGAAATAGGTCATGCTATCAATTTTGTCATAAATCTTTGTAATAGTTTGAAGAACTTAAATGTAAATGCTGATAAAATTTGGTATAAGAATTTACAACCTCCTGTAAATAATTTTGTAAGACTAATCTGTACTTTTGCTTTTTTTTTACAAGTATATTTGTGGTTTGTTTTTTCACTAAGGGTCAAATGTACATGTACTGAATAAATATTAATATAGTGCCATCTATTTAGAAACAATTCCACTATGTTGTCAAAGAGCAACATAATAGGAGTTGTATGCTGTATAAGTTGTAATCCATTTAAAATTTACAGTAGTCATGTAAAAATGTATATGTGCAGTATCTTTTTCGTCACAACTGTAAAAAGCCCAAATAAGCAAATATCACAACACAATTATTGAAATAAAACCCCAAATATTGAGTAGCATATTCAAAGTAAAAACATGGTAATCTTGTGTACTTTTAGATGAGTAAAACCTCAGCTAATGAAACATTAGCTCTTTTTTTGTGAACTACAGGTGAGCATTAAAGTACATCCTCATGAACCAAGTCTAAAAGCATAAAGTATCCTATATCAAATGTGCAAATAATGTGTATCACAAAAAAGTTTGATAATCACTTGTAAACATTTAAGTATGACAACTAAATAATTAATTTTAAGTAAATTTCATGCTCATTTTGTCCTAAGCTATGCACAAATATCAGAAAGACTGACTGATCAGTAATTTGTTCTAGGTTGAGTTGTTTAACATATCTATGAGGTTGATACTATTGATAAACATAAACAGATCCTAACTGGTGGCAGAAAAATATGAGAATATAGCCTAAAACACTTAAGTACATGTAACTGTCATAGTACAGACAGAAAAGTTTAGTAACTTGTGAATTTAAAAAATCAAGGTTAAAAAACTATATATCAACAAAATCCTAAACAAGAAATTATTATTACATATTGTAATTTATTTTTGAAAAATAGAAGTATATATCCAAATCTGCAGGTGTGAATGGTAAATAAAATAAACTTTTTGTATGTATTAATTGTAAAAGTGGAATATGAATCAATTGTCTTTAAACTACTCAGCACATTGAAATAAATATACTGAACATATCAATAATATTTCGGGTTGGCATGGCCAGGTGGTTCGCTCGACTCGTAATCTGAGGGCCACGGGTTTGAATCCTTGTCACACCAAACATGCTTGCCCTTTCAGTCGTGAGGGCATTATAATGTGATGGTCAATACCACTATTTGTTGGTATAAGAGTAGCCCAAGAGTTGGCGGTGGGTGGTGATGACTAGCTGCCTTCCCTCTAGTCTTACACTGCTAAATTAGGGATGGCTAGCACAGATAGCCCTCGTGTAGCTTTGTGCGAAATTCAAAAACAAACAAATAAATCAATAATATTATTAATTTAATTGAACAACTTTAAAATTATTAGCTGTTTAGGTGGTGGTAAAGTTCAGGTACCATATTTTCTGTTCATCTTTAAAACTTATCTAATTCAAAATAATTTGTATTATTAAAAACATGAACTATTTTTCTTTGATATTTTTAACTGCTCACACTGAATTATTGCTAATTGATATATCTACCAGTAACGCAAAGGTTTTAAGTATATGTATATTCATAGATTAGTGATTGTTACTGATAGGGGTCTTCAATTGAC